GGCGGGGGGCGGGCCGGCCGCGGCGGCCGCGACCCACCCCCGCGCCCCCCGCGCCCCCCGCCGGCGCGCCGCCCGGGCTGCGGGGCCCGCGCGGGACACTCACCCTGCGTCCGGGCGCGGCTCCTGCGCTGGGCCCTCGGCGGGCCGGGGCCGGGGGCTCCTGCTGCCCGCCGCCCGGCTGCTGCTGCGCGCCCGCCGCCGCCTCCACGCGCGCCCGCCGCCCCCCTCGGCTCCGCTCTTTCTCTCCCGCGCCCCCTCTCCTCCCGCCCGCGCCCCCTCTCCTCCCGCTCGCTCGCTCGCTCGCTCTCCCTCCCGGGAAGAAGGGAACGAGGCAGGGCTGACGTGAAGGGATGCAAAACAGCTCCTCCTAAGCCGGCGCGCGGAGGAAGAGACCGAAAAGCAGCCCTTTTATCTCCCTTTTGTTTTCTCACTTCCTTCCACCCCCCGCACCCCCCTCCTGTCAGCCCAAGTTTTCTTTTCTCTTTCTACCGCAGAGAGGATTTTTCTTCCTTTCTTTCTCTGTCTTTCGGTTCAACTCTCCCACTCAAAATGAAAGCCTGGAGGGTTTTCTTTCTCCTTTTCTTTTTCTTCCCTCTTTTCTTCCTTCTTCCTCCTTTCTTATTTCTCTAAAAGGGTTTTGTTTGCTGTGGGAGTTTCGTTTGAAAATCAAGTCACGCCTTTTTTCCTCCTTTTCTTTCTTTCTCTTTTTTCCCCCCCTCCTCCCAGCAGAAAAGGGGAACAAAGATTAACTGAAGCGGGGGCGCGGGGCAGCGTCGGAACCTCGCATGGAAACGGGGGGCCCGGCCCAGCCGGCACAAAGGGCCCGGGGCCTCCGCGCCCCTCCCCGGCCGGAGGGCGAAGGCTGGGTGTGTGCTTTACTTATATATTTTTAAAGTAGGCAGCGGGCTTGGAACAAACATCCCCGCTGAGCACTGAACTGGAAAAGGGCTTTGAACAGCTGTTTGCAGAGCCCTGGACGGCCAGGCTCGAGGGAGCGGCGCGGGCTGCGAGCGCCGGGCCCCGGGCGGGGAAGGGGCTCCGGGGAGCCGCCCCTCCGGGGCCTCCAATCCCGGGTCTGGGCCCCCAGTCCCCAAGGCGCGCTGATGGGGGGCGCGGAGGCGGGCCGTCCGCCCGGCAGGGGCAGGCCCCTTGCGCCTCCCTGAAGGGCCGCGGGGTTCCGCGCAGCCTGGTCTCCCCCCAGCTCCCCGGCGGGCCGGACCCTCGGCCTCCAACCTCCAAGCCCGCAACTCCGGCTTGGACCCCGACGCAGGGCGCGTCCGGAGTCCTCGGGCAGCGCTGGGCAGAGGCGCCAAGAAGGGTCAGTTATTCCTGAGGCGCCTGGACGTGCTCCCAGGATCTGCTCTGCCCTCAGCTTCCCTGGAGAAGCGGGGAGAACACAGGGGTGGGGGGGGCGGGGAGTTCCCAGAGCAAAGTTGGCCGCATTTCTCGTTTTCCCAAGTAAGTATTAAGCACCTGCTGGATGCCTGGGCCCTTGGACTGGTCCTGCTGCCAGGGGCTGGGGAGAAACGTGAGGTCTTCTGGGCCCCGAGAGTTTCCGCAGGAAGCAGTGCCAGAACCAGCCGCAGCGCAGGACCAGGTCATCTAGAGGAAGGAAAGCCTGGATCCTCTCCTCTCCCTCCCCTCTCTTCCTTCCCCCTTCCCTTCCTTCCTCCGGGCTGCATCTCCTCGGCTCCACCCCTTCTCATCAATTCCTCCCACACTTCCCCGCTCTCCCTGGCTCTTCACTGAGGGTCCCTTCTCCCAGCGAGGAGCAGATGCTGAGCCCCATTGTCTCTCCCCCCAGTGGCTGCAGTCTCCCGGGGACAGGACCTGCCACTCGTCACCCCTCCCCCCCAGCCCGGAGGTCTGGGCCTTTAGAGACTGGAGCCCCAGGGCCACTGCCCCTCGCCCCACCCCAGAGTAGCTCCTGGTGTTGGGAGCAGTGACTCCAGTCACTCAGAACACGATTTGTTTCTGACTGCGAGAGAGAAAAACGGTAGCCTGAGACTTGGCTTTGGGAAGGAGAACACCATGGTTTTCACATCAGCGCACAGAGCCCCGGATGACCCGAGGGCATTTGCCTCTGTACCCTCTTATTAGGATATACCGAAAGCTGCTTTTCCCTCAGTTTTATATCCTCCCACGTAGAGCATCTAGGCTGTTTCCTTCAAACAAAGCAAGACTCAGCTCTGATAATCAAGCATTCATTTAACAAATGTTTACTGAGTACCCCCTGTGCCTGCTACTGCGCTGGGTGCTAAGGCCCTAACCGTCAGCACACATGGTCCTCTCTTCGGCTTTGCAAACTGGCAGGGGAGGATGACCAAGTGCCCTGTGATGCATGCAAGGATGAACCAAGGAAGCGCTAAGAGGGTACTTGCACTGGGGTGGTCAGGGATGGCTTCCTTGAGGGGGTTACATCCAAATGAGTAGGTTCTTGCCAGGCAAATGCATGGGAAGGTACAGCCTGTCCAAAGGCCCCAGGGCAAGACAGCACATTCTTACAGATTCTGGGAACTGCTGCAACTATTTGCTGCAGTGAAGAGTACAAATGGAGGAGTGGGGAGACAGGACAGTGTCAGGGCCCAAGTGGAGTAGGGGGTGGATATCAGGGAGATGTTCAAATTTTAGCCTCTCCCAGTTGCTAACTTCATGAACTTGGGTGAATAACAACCTCAGGGAATAACTTAGATTCCACTTCCTCACTTACGAAATGCGGGTAAGAACTCCCATGGGCTGCAGAGACAGTGTCTTAGGTTTGAGGGCCCAGGCTTATTGCTGTGTATCCCTGGGCAAGCTGACTTCTCTGTTTGCTCATCTGTAAAATGGGGATGAAAAAGCCTGCTTCACAGGGTTGTTGTAAGGCTTAAATGAGTCCATACCTCGCACTGTATCTGGTACATAAGCAGCAATACATGGTAGCTTGTATTCATTATTATTATAAATCAGGGAGTGACAGGGAGGTGCCCTTACAACCTGGAAATGAGATTATGTTCTGGAATTGAAACTGGGATGACTCATCATGTCAGAAATGTGATGAGCTGGCTGTGGAGGAAGCATTCTTTCAAAGATGCCCTATGTCCCATTAGGTGGCTAGGATTAGGGAACACCTACGTCTGATTGGCATGGCCAGGGTGTCCTCTCACAAACATGACCAGAATGTGAAGACTTTAGTTAGGAAGGCTTAGCCTGATCAGAGTAATTCTCGTTGGCCTGAAGGACAAATAGGGAACAGAAGACAGTGGCTTCGTAAAATCTAAGAGACCCTCTAGGAGCAGATACCTGGCTGTGTTTGCTCTGGAGAGAAGTAGACACAGAAGTTCACACTGTGGCAGAGGCAGGGGAGAAAGAGATTGTCTCCCCCAGAGCCCATATTAAATGTCTGAAAACCTATTAGTCCTTTTCTTGGGTTTTCCAAGCAACTTGCAGATGAACTTGGCACTGGCAAAATGCCCCCTGAATCCAGACAGATGCCAGCATTCGAGTTGCTGCGTTGTAAACATTCTACTCTTCTTTTATTTCCATATGACACTAGTTGGTTTGTGAAAGATTTGGAAAATCAGCTAAGCAAGGCCAAAAGACCCCCTGTAGAGACATTATGTTTTGGTGTATATCCTTGGACATTTTCTATCCACATATCTACCTGTAAATGCACATAATAATAAAACTATACAAAGTAAATACTGTTAAACAAATGAATGATTATACATATGAATTTATTTTTTATAAAATGAACAAAAATGGCAGATGTATTTACTGAATTGCAATCACTTTTGCCCAGTAATATGTCACAAATATCTTCCCCCATTCTTAAGAAATGGTGTTACTCCATGGTGTGCATCACGTGTTTGAACACCTTGTTGGACTTGTGGGATGTTTCCAGTTTTTCACTTATATGGACTGGTTGTAATAATCATACAGTCCCCTCTGTGCCAGGTAGATGTCATACTCTGATCATCATTTTACATATGAGGAGACTGAGGTACAGAAAAGTTTAAAGAAACACTTCCCAAGGTCACAGCTCTGGAGTGACTGAGCCACAATTTGCAGCCACTTTCTAGCTGGGAGTTCCCTTTGGCATCTGTTTTCTCCTTTGCACCAGAGCAGCTGTCCCCTCCACATACCCCCCCCATTATCTTCTTTCACAGATCACCTCCCTGTGAGAATCTGTCTGGGCAGGTAACCCACTTCCTTCTCTGACACCTTTTTAACTTCAGTAATGTCCACCTCCTGGGGTCATTGAGAGGAATGAAAGCAGGTAATACAGGATGAATAATGTGCAACAGTATATTTCATATATCATGAAGTATGTGAATGTCACGAGGTACCAGCAAAGGCTTAACCTCATGACCAGACACCACCACCATTCAGCCAAATCCCCTGGCCTGCCCAGACGGAGGGAGGAAGCCTCCACAGTCCCACTAGAGGGGGAAAAACCAGCTGTTCTGGTGAGAAGCAGTAAAGGGAGGCCTCCCTTGGGTATTTCAGAAGCCCCATAGTTGCTCCCTTGGAACTGAAGTGGGAAAGAAAGTTTGTTATAAGTAAAACTAAACTTGAAAGTTTTTTAAGTTTATTAACCCTCATGATTTCCCTGAGGGAGGATGCATTCATGCCACAGAGCTTCCAAAATATTTATATCCATCTCTGAAAATCAGGAACCTTGTAAACAGAAAAGAGAGATGAAACAGCTCCTCAGTGTTGCAGTTGAAGTGTTCACCAGGGTAACTGCTGGGAGATTAGTAGGCGATCATTAAAATCTGTTTCTTTCAGTGGCAGAAGCAAATGAACCTTTGAAAAAGATATCAGTCACTTTGTAATATTTAATATTCGATTTTTAGTATCAAACCTCCCAGCTGGAATCCAGCTAATGGCTGGCATAAGCCACCAGGGCTGAACTAAACTGGGCTGCTGAGAACAGAGGTGGGTCTAGGGCCCCTGAAAGGATGGGCTTGGAGATGGCAGGGGCACCTGGCACTGGTAAAGAGTCACTGAGAACTCAGTTAGTGGCCTGAGTCCTGCAGATGTGTTGGGCAACAACTCAGAGACCTCAGAAATATAGTAACAATTTAGGAATAGTCAGTGTCTGTGGGGGAAAACCCAAGAAAGCACACGTCCCTGTGGATGGATGAGCTGAACATCTGACATTTGTGAATTCCTTTTCCAGAAGTGATGACAGGGTGCGTCATATAATCTACCCCTTCTGACCCTCCTTGGGACCAAGGGTGTGTATTTTTTCATGGTTTTTTTTCCCATCATCACTTGGACCAATAAGTTAACCAGTCCTATTTGCATAAATATAAGAATAAATATATGACAAAAGAAACATAGGCCATCAACCATGGCAGCAGGAAACTGCCAGCGTCACCAAACAGTTAAAAAACAAATACATAAAAGCCACAGTGATGACACATTGCTATGCGTTGGCTAATGGGTACAAAGCCTGCCTGGAAAATAATTTGATATTAGGGACTAAGAGAAATTTAAAAGTTATACCTTTTGATTCAGTAACATCAGGTCTAGGAATCTATTTGAGAGAAAGAATCAGCCATGTGGCCAAAGGTGTACGTTAAAGATGTTTATCAAAGTTTTATTTACCTGGGCAAAAATTACAAATGAGAAGGAAGAAGGAAGGAAGGAAATAACCTAAGTTTTGAACAGCAAGAAAGTGTTTAAAGAAGTATGGCATGCTACAACTTGAATAAATACAAATATTTGATATAATACTAGATAGCTATTAAAAACCACGTTTTTGAAGAATATTTAGTGAGTTGGGAAATGTTTGTAACGTACTGAGCGAGATGCAAAACTGCATATGCATCAGAATTCTATTTTTGTCCAATTGGTACATATGTACATTTATTCTGAAAAATACGTATCAAGTACTTGGAAGGAAATACGAGTTAAAAAGTCATTTCTGTTTGTTGGAATTATGGATGATTTTTGTTTTGTCCTTTGTCTCTTAGTATACTTGCCAAATTTTGATTATTTTTTATATATATTTTATATTATTTTTAATATAAATTATATTATTTTTAAACAATAACTTCTATGCTAGAAAACACGAACGCTAGGCCTCTCATTCAAGGCAAGGGTGAGTGGATGCAGGCCAGGCCTTCAAGGAGCTTCTAGTCTATAGGAGAAATAGCCAAGCAAACAGGAAGTTACACTGCAGAACTGCAATTAGTTCTCCTCCCCTGGAAGTGTTTGAAGACCTGAGAGGAAAGAGGAACCAGCATTTTGGTTGCTGAGGATTTGGACTCTGGGTTGAATAGACTATCTATTGTGAAAGCGTATTGTGCAAAAAGAGAAAGGGGCTTTTTGTGCAGGGAGATAAAGAGGGTGTGGGATGGGAGCGCGAGGGTGGGGGAGGAGGAGGCAGGCCTGGGAGCAGTGGGTCCGCTGTGGGCAGGCACGCCCCGAAAGTCGTTTCAAGTTGTGCTCCCCGGCCTGCAACTGTGTCACAGCATCCAGGGCCAGCCAAGTTCCTGGTGCTGAATTCCTAACAGGGGCTCCGTAGATGTTGATTGCCCTTAGGAATAGATGAATGAGTGAGCACGTAACTTCAGGGATCACTCTCATGAATTTCCTTTAAGGCATTAATTAAATATGTTGTCTGGAAAAGAAAGATTCCATTGTGGAGCCATGATGAGGAGCAAGACAGGAGGGGAATTTATAGTCTTCTTTACCAAGGCAGCAAAGTACATGTGCATGTGCATGCGCGTTTGTGTGTGCATGTGTGTGTGTGTGTGTGTGTGTGTGTGTGTGTGTGTGTGTGTGTCTGTGTGTGTGTCTGCTTCACCATCAGGAGGAACCTGAGTTCAGGGGTGAATGTAGCACTGACTGGAGTCTGTGGAGCTCTTGGCCGACGTGACCTGCCATCTGTGTGACCTCGGTCAGACTCAGTCTCTGGGTTTTTCAATGCCTAGAAAACGGGCTTTGGGCAACCTACGTTCATGGAGGAGATCAAATGCATGCAGGATAATGCTGTGCAGTAAAGCACCCTGAAGATGGAAGGAGCTAGAAGTGTTAGCACGATTGCCTCACTTGCTTGCTGGGATTGGGGGAGTGGAACCATAGGGTAATGCCTTTGCAGTGTTGAATCGTTAGGCATGAATTCTCTTTTTGGTCTCTTCCCTTTACATCTATTCTTCACCTCATCAACAAACATTAATTGAGAACCGACCCTGTGCTGGCCACCAAGAGGGACAGATGTAAGATTAGGTACAAAAGCTCTCATCTTTGGGAAGCCTTCTCGGAAGAGGTGATATTTACAATGAGTCCTGAAAGAAAAGTAGTAACTGCTCAGCTCAGCCAAGGGGACAGGGCTCTGAGCAGGGGCACAGACCTGAGGAACCTGTTTTCCTGTTCTGCTGAATGACACAATAGGTGCAGAAAGCCTAGCACCATGCCTGTTTTTTAGTTGCTTCTAAAAAAAGCCAGCTCTTTGTCCCCTCTGTATCAAAATCACTTCTGCTCTGAAACTTCCTGTTCACATTTTGTTCTTTTCCCCCAGTTCCTGGAGATAGATTGGCTCCGGCTGTAAGTTGCTCTGCCCAGAAAATCTAAAGCACCTCCTTCAGTTTCTGCTCAAAAGCAATCTGGACAGGCTTCCCTGACCAAGCCTTTGAAGGCAGCTCCTCTCTGACCCATGCTCTGCTTCGTGCCCCCCACACCCTTGCATTTCTTGTCTTCAGATATGACATGGGCCTAATTGCTTGTGTGACTTCTTCTGTCCCCACCAGAATATGAGCTTCCTGAGTAGAGAGAACTTTGTTTTGTTTTCAAGCAAACTTTTCATTTTGACATCATTGTGTTTTTTAAATTAAACGTTGTATTTTAGTTAATTGTAAGAAAACCATTTTTCTGGCTGTTGTCTGGCTACTGCACAGAACTGGGCCTGGCACATACCAGGCATGAGAGGTAAATATTATTTAAAGGAATAAATGAATTGAGGAAGAATTTCTGAAAAACATCGAGACTACTGTCCCCTTAAGTTCTCAGCCCAAATGGCTTTCCTGGAGAGAGGTGGGTGTCTTAAAGTTTCGAGGCATGGGTAGCCCATCTTATATAAGTTCATCTAGAACATAGCATTTTCCATATGAAGAAAATGGCAAGTATTTCTATATGAAGAAAATGACAGTACCGTGTACCTGATGCAGAGGTTAAATAAAGAGGGAAAGGTCAAATGAACTTATGGGCTTAATGCAAATTCAAATGAGCGTCTTCTTCAAACTTTCACAAAAAGATCATAAAACTCATTTAGCAGAATAAACAGGTGGAATTTCAAGGAAATGTTTGTAAAATAAGAGCAAGGATGGTGGCAATAGACGTAGAAGGGAAACATTTTAGAAAAATGTAATATTTAAAATTGTGTGGTATTAAGGCAAAAATGTATAGCTGTTTTAATAGTTTAAAATAGAGAGCTCAAAATAAGACAATGATCCACGTACTAATCTAACATGTAATCAAGGGCCATCATTGGAAAAAGAGGATTATTTTAAAAATTATTTTGAGCTAACTGGCTGGCAATTAGGAAAAAAACTTCTACTTTCATCTCACATAATAATACAACAAAAAATTCTATCCGGACTAAAATATAAAAATTTTATCTGGACTAAAATATTATATGAAATAACAATAATAATAATCAAGACCAAATCATAAAAAATTTGTAAGGCAAAGAAAATAGACACTT